GATTCACGGAAAGATGATTGTTTATTATTTATCTATATATTTTTTAAACGTTTATATAAAATAAGTTATATATGTTACTGGAAAAATAAATGAGCAATTAAATTTAAAAATAAAAGAAATAAATTAATAAAATTAAATTTCTCACTTATAATTGCTCTACCATTACTCCATGATTTTTTGGATCTTTTCCTTTTTTCTTATTTGATCTTTACTACTTTTTTTATGATTCTCAGACGATATTTTTTCGCGAGTAATTAATACAATTAATTAAGATTTCACGCGCATTTTAAATGTCAGATCGCACGATATCTTTCATAGCATTCTAGCCTTTAATTGCACATAATCTGCATTTAATTTTAATGCTACGAGAAAATCAAATAAAAACAAAAATATATACGGTCGAATTCACACACGTCTACTATCTCTTTCGCCAATAAATATACACACATATTTATGTACTATATGTGGAAGTTTTGATGTCTCATTAAAATTAATTGTAAGCAATTTAATTTTAATTTAATTATAAGCATAACTTTGTTAATTTATTTGTTATTAATTATGTTAAATTAAGTTTCGTTAAAATGTACTAATTAATTAATTGCTCCCATATCTTCACGGTAGTGGCTCACTTTAAATTATTTTAAGGACACTGTTATTTTGAAATACGTTCCAAATTTATATTTACCTATTATATATAATATCTTCATCTTATTACATCACGATAAAAATATAAGATACTTAAATAGTACATACTGTAGCAAAAGGAAGTGTTTTAGAAAAGGAAAGTGGTTTAAAAAAAAAAAAGAGTTATAATATCGCAGAGTCTAAATATGAGAATTTTATGAAGATTAAAAAGGACAAATTCTCGCGTCTTTCCCAGCGAGAATAGCTCTGTGGGTGGTGGAAAGCACGGATAATGGTGCAAAATCGTTCACGTTGCACAGTCGCAGACGGTCGTGGAAAATCGAAGCGACGCGCATGATGTGATGCACATTGACGACGACCGCGCAGTGCCGCCGAGGCGATTCCAGAGGATTCGCGGTTTCTCGTCCTGATGGGAGCAGTGCGCGATCAGTATGCATTATATTCCTGCGACCGGCGAAGAGACTAAATTCGCCGATACCGCGATTTTCCAGAGCCCGACCGGGCTCGTTGTGTTCGCGAGAACTTCCGGTTCCCGGTTTTAATCGTGTCCCGCATTAGCCGAAAATACGCGGGCGTGGTGATTACCGATTTCTGTTTTCTTCCTTGAAAAATTGCCGGAAATTTCAATGATTTCAAAGTAGAAGCTCGTCTATGGGAAATGCAATCCCCTGTATTAATTCATCGATTAAAAGGCACAAGGCTTTTTTCAAAGAAATCGAAGTTAGTCGTAGTACCATGTGACTCATAAAATTACGTAATATTGTTCAATCATATTTTATGTTACTTTTTTATTTAATTACCTTCTGAATAAATATTACACATAAAAAAACATGTTAAAAACACATTATTTAAATAGAGTATTTCTCATCATTATTGAAAATATTGTAAAACTCGATCTTTCTAGGAAAATTTTTTTATTAATATATGGAAAGATTATGATGATTGCATGAAATTATGTGAACATAACATACAAATATCGTAAAATACTCTGACCTGTTTAAAAAATATGCTAATTTTAATTTAATTTTTAATACTGTCTCGTATTAAATTTATATGCTTTAACCGAAAATTCATAAGAGAAGTAATCGTTCGTCTACGATATAAAGCTTTTTTTCTCTAATGTTAAGGTATTAATAATTTTTAATTAACTTTGATTAATTTATTGAATCAGAAGAATTTTAACAATTTAAGTCTCAGAAAGACAATATGATAATATATGACAATTTAATCAATATTTTAAGATTTTAGTAGAATTTTAATTTGAAATGTTAAAAACTAGAAGAATATATACACACGATATATAAATAATCCTTGACATTTTTGTTAAAAAAGATCAATTCCATATAATTATCAAAGAAGAGAGAATTTCCGATAAACTTTTTTTGATATCTTGTACACATTAGTTGCGATGTAAATAGAATTGTTCTGCAAAGTTTATATAATATTTAATAAAAGATATAAACAACGTCTAGGAATTAGATAATCTTTAATGCTCAAATCACTCGAAGATCAGTAATTAAATATCACTAATCATCACTAGTAATAATAAATTATTACATTTGATCATAATTACATGAATCACGTATTGCGTTACTTCATTGATGGTTGATGGCTTAAAATCAGCAATAAAAATGGAATATAAATTTAACAAACGTAGACTTATAATTAGTCGTTATAATCAATATTCAGTTAAGACTAAGTCGCGTACTTTGCAATTATAAGTAACAGATACATAGCTATGCAACGAGTTGAATTGCATAAAATCTATTGTAATATTTATATATGAATGGATAGCACACAATTCTAATTCCGATCGCTCAAACATTAGATCAATTAATTAAAAATACTGTAAATTTCTTTCTATGTCCTTTTCTTCTTTCGTTTATCAGTAATCTACTATCTAAAAAATATTTACAATATGTATTAATTATTAATCAGTTGAATACTGATTTTTATTTTTTTCTTTATCTGTCATATTTATTTATATTATTTATTTATATTATAATTACTCGTACATTTTTTATATTTAATTGTAGAAAGATAAGTTTTAAAGTATTTAATATTAAAAATATAATATATATTTTAAAGATTTATTAATTATGAAACTATTAGAAAATAATTTCCGTTATTCCCGTTTACCTCAAAGTTTTCTGTACATATAATGCACATAAATACGAGAAGTAATACGAGAGGCTACAACATTTGAATGAATATTATAGATACGAGCAACATTATATGACGTACACTGCATACATTGCTCGCGTAACCAAACGATTTCAAGGAAAAATTATTTTCAACGTCAAGGATAACTTTTCGCAATATATCGCTCTTATACGCCATAAATACATAATATTATTATCGAATATATTTGCAGGATATTAATGCACGCGCTTATCAGCATCGTTATATATCGAATATCATAGTGCGAGTATTTTCTCGAACTCGGGTTAATGAACGGCGGACACTCGGGTATTCGGATGTGCACATCGGCAGCACCGGCGTATGCTTTGCGCGATCAATGGAATGCATCATCTAGGTACGCCCGCGCGTACCTAGACATTTTAATGCACGGTTCACTCGAAATGCACAAAGGTAGAATCTGAAACAAGAATGCCATGTGTGCGATATATCTCGTTATTTATACACGATGGGACGACACTTTATCTTATGTTCTCTGAAAAAAATTTACACCGCAAAAGTTATGCATAAAGTATAATTCTCATATGAATTATCTTCTTTTTTTTCTTATTCATCATTTTTCTGTGATGCATATTCTATTTCTTATACATATTAACTAAGTAATTGTATTTCCTAAATATATATGTAACATAAATATATATATGCCTCTCTGTATGAAGTATTCTTTTATAAATGAAGATAAAATAATTATGTAAGAGAGATGTCAATTTTTTCATATTTTCAATATTTCCTAGAGAAATATATATATTGTAAAAATTATGATGAATTCTTTCCAATTTTATATTATAAAATAAACTTTATATAGGGCTATATATACGTACATTACAGACTATATATGACAGTTTTTTAAATATTCCAAATTATAAATATAATATATAATATATATAATACACACACACACACACACACACACACACACACACACATATATATAATAAATTATAATTGTATTAAATTATATTCGTTTTCTTAAAATATTCAAAATAATGAAAATTATTATATTAAACAATATTGAAAATATACATATTTAATAACACAATTTACCTTTATATAATGTCGCGAATAAAGATATAATTATAATAGTTTTGATACTTTTAAATTTTATATATCAAAAATATTTGATCATTTAAAGTTATATTTTTAATTTTGATGTTACTTTGTAAAAGCGCTTGTATCTTTCTTATTTTATATTGATATTAAATATAATATTTTTAAAAAAATTGCATCTAAAGTTATCTATTTAGACTAAAATGTTTGTAATTTGATTATTAAAACTGTTCTCGCACATAAAAGGAAACATAAAAGGATAATTAGATTAGATGGAAAAAGAGGTAAAATGAGAAATATAAAAATAAAATTTTCATGACAGTAGTTAATAAAAATATTAAATAATTTAATAATTTATTAAATAATGAATTAAATAATTTAAATCGCCAGATATATTTTTGACTACTATATCTGCAATATACCTTCAGTAACGGTAATTTCGTTTCAAAAATATCACTGGTCATTAGCACACTATTTAGTGATCGTACTATAATTGTATTTGCTGAACGTTTGTGCTTCTTTCGCGAGTAAAAAAACCAGCCGTCCTAGAAAATTGACTGACAAATTTAACCACTATTATTTATTTTTCGATTTTTGAACAGTGAATATTAAATTTCAAAACAGATAAATTTAACGTTTTATATTTATTAAGATAATAGACTTGAAGTTTAGATTTTATGAATCATATAATAAATCTTGTAACAATCATAGATAGATATTAAAAATTAACATTGATATGTACAGGTATTTTATCCAGTATAATTTTGGATAATCTAAATCATACATTTCCTTCAGTTTTATTATTTTTTATTAATGTTAATATATCGATTTAATATTCTCAATAATTTTAATTCGATAATCTACTTGTTAAGACTGCATTTAGAATTATTCACTATTGGCGATGATTTTACTGAAACATTATATATGCTACTTAAGAATTTCTCAGATATCTTTCATATTTCCTTTTTTTATGGATATTTTTCCATAAAAATATTATTTTATCATTTTAGAATCAATTTAAAGGAATAAAATTAATATCATAAAGAGCATTAATGGAACGGGATTGATTCAAGATAAAGAAATGAGAAACATTCTCTTTATAAATGATTCATATGAAAACTTCGGTGCTCAAAGATACCGATCGTCGACAGCTCGGTAGTCTCCTCGACCGTTTTCTATTCTAATTCCGTTTGCTATTCTGGTACCGGTGAAGGCAGCCAATGGGCAACGCGTCCGTTCATCTTACACGCAACTACACCCCTCTTCTCGTGGTCTCTTCATCTCTTCTGTCGTGTACATCACCACCCCCTTCTCCGTGTCGATCGCAGTCGCTCTCGAGGCATCGCGTATCGTGGATTAATCCTATATTCGTTATGCTATTCTTTCGTCCTTTATCGATCGTTACGATTATCGGTTCGTTTCTCCTCGTGATAAATGTCAAATATCTAAAATTGAACCGGTCAAATTGAGGAACATCCTCGAAGATTCTATCAGTCAGGACTATCCTGAAAGGAGAATAACGCCTGGTGGAGAAAGGGTGCGATGCAGTGGCGACGACAGAAGAAAGTCACCCACGTGATCGGCTCTTCGAATCATGTATTGCTCTTAGCAAGGTACCAAGATGGTACGGAAACAATATCTTAACAAAATTACACGTGGAAAAACGCGTCGCATCGAGTGTCTTATATCGAGCATATTTTACATTGATATAAAAAGCGTCGAATTTCAAATAGAAAAATAGAAAAAAAGTGAAACAAATAGACGTACAAATAATTTTCTCTATCATAAATTATAATAATTTTCTCTATCATAATTATAATAATTTTCTCTATCATAAATTTATACAAAATTAAATAATTAAATTAAATAATTCACTCGAAATTACATCATCAATTAAATTTAGATTTTTTACATTCATGTGATACAATCAAAGCTATATGAATGCGAAACATTTACTATAATTTTGAGATTATAAATTTTCTTGTCACCATTTGATTCTATTGTCGTTTTATATTAAATTATTCGTTTTATAAAAAATCTTTTTATGTAAAAATAATTCTAGAAATAAATCATAAGCGAATACAATAATTCATACATATGATGTTTTATATTATATGATTATAATTTTTATTTAGATTGCAACGCTTATAATTGTATATATTGATTCAACCATAAATTATAGAACAAAACCTTCCATGTGTGATTAATTGCATATGACATTTAGAAGATAATATAGGTTTTCTTTTAAATACAAAAAATGATTATTCAAATGATATGAAAGACCTAACATTTTTTTTACCATTATGCGACTGACACAAACATATGTTCAATGTTATCATGTACTATCATGATTTAATCAATGCATATTGCTTTTATATTGTAAGCAGTCGACAAGCTAAGTGTGAATTATGTGTTAAAATATATTATAAATATACATATATTCATTTCTCTGTTTACATATTCAATGTCTTAACAAAATATTGAATATGCAATATTATTTATTGTAATTTCTAGTAATAAAAATATAAAGATTGCAAGAAAAATGTTAATCGAAAGCTATTCAGGTTTTTTAATATATTTGCAAATCTAGCAATTCTTGAAACTTAAATAGCTTTGTATTTTTCTTTCGTACATTCGTAAATGAAAAATATTAGAAAATATATACAATAAATTTATTTTAAAAGGTTAATTAAAAAATTTTAAAATATCCTTTTTACTCTTGAATTTTAAATAAAAATATCTGAAATATCAGGAGCTTCCAGAGAATTTTTTTACAAGATTTCACACACATAGTAGACATTCTGCTGAACATCTGAATATCTTATATATTTTAATACTCCATGCAAAATATTAAGATATTTTATTTAACTATCTTTCTCCATTTTTCAGATATTTATCACGTAATTAAAAAAATTATTAACGTTGAAACTTAAATGATTAGGGAAGTTCTCTAAATAAATTTGCAGCGCGTATTACTTATTGTTTTTTGCATTTGATTAATTTTAAATGTGAAAACAAAAATATCTCAATTCATATTTATTGTTTATTATTATCGTCATTTTCGTTTGGCAGCTCCACCCGGTGAGGAAGATGAAGAAGAGGGTTTACGAAAGGAATATGTGAAAAATCAGGAAAAGGACACGAACACGCACACCTTCGATCGGAATGGACAGCAGAGTGGTTACAAACCACGCCGAGCCGGTACCAGCACCAGCGGTGGCAGTACGAGTGGTTACGCCAGCAGCGGCTCAAGATCGCATAGAGATGAGAATGCGGGCTCCCCATTACAGCCCAAGATCATCTTCAACGAGGAGGAATACACGAGAATCACGACGCCACGGCAGGATGTTCTTTTCAAGAAGGGATATCTCTCGCGCAAGAAACCCTGGACCGGAAATGCGAGCACTAGCGCTACGCCATCGACCACGGAAAGTCAATCGGCGTCACATTCCACCGCAGGTAGAGGTTGATAAATATATTGTTATATTAATAAGTCAAAAGGCATAAGTTAAAACGTAAGTTCACTTTTTCCAGTCATAACAAAGTTTCAATTTTATTCAAATTACCATATATTGTATCGTACTCTATTCATAAAACTATATAAAATTCTACAATAAATTACTTAATTATTAAAAATTAATCCAATTAAAATAAACATATTTTAAAACATATCTTTTTAAATAGAAATAATAACATATAGTAACTTAAGGTAATTTCTTACAAAAATTTGCATTAGCATTTTTATATTTTTTTAAAAAAAGAATACATCTTTCATCTGTTCTATCTCGATATTAGTTTAAATAAAGTTACTACATTTATCATTTTGTCGTATATTTATTTTATCAATAATATGTATGCGACTAAACGAAAACATTTTTATAGACGGCAGTGAAACTACAGAAGATCAACAGTTATTGGATAGGGATACCGGAACGGGAGAATATCCGCCCATGGTAGAGCCAGGAACTCAACTAGGATACGGAACATTTTACGATCACGCGAGTGGTTACTATTATGAATATCCTGTGATGTTGGTCGGACCTGCACCAGTACCTGCTGTTGGACCAAGTGTTCTAGCGACTGTACCATGTGGCCCGGTTCCTCTAAGACCAATCGAATGGATCAATCCTGCCTTTGTGCCTAAACTTGCCAATCAGCCATATTGTTTAATGGACTATCAAGTGAGTTGAATCTTATATTTGTCCATTAAGTATATAATATAAGTACATAATATTTTCTCTTATTGATTATTCGATTAAAATTTTAGTATAAATTTATAAATATTTTATTTTAGAGAAATGAAAATTATGTATATCTTTTAAGCTCATTCAGTTATCTTTTGATTAGATTGACAATGTGGATTTTCGAATATGAATTATTTATTATTTGTAGACTAACCAAAGTACAGAACCGGCCACGATAGTGGAAGAGCATAACGGCATGGCAGTGACAGCGGAAGCTTCCAACAGTATGTGGAATGAGAGCGGCACTGGTAGCGCCAGCTGTAGTGGTAGCATAGCCGAAGAAACTGAAGAACAAACCGAAGAAGTAGACGCATCGACCATGGAGCCATACACTATGAAGGAGCAGCTCATAGAGGAACAGCCTCTAGAACAGCTGCATCTTGAAGAACAACAACATTTAGAGAATGGCGTAACGACGATCGATCCTTATCTAGATCCATTATTGATGCAGGAGCCGGTACATGTGCCACACGTAATGCCGGCTGTACCACAGCCGTATATGTATCCTGGTCACTACATGTTTGGGCCGCCATTGGTCAACGTCAATGGTTAGTTATTAGATAGATAAATAGATAGATAGATAGGTAAAAGAGCCATTCCCTTGAGGAGTAATGTGCGCGTGCTATGTATGGATTGAACAATCTGAACTTGCTCTCTGCCATTTGCATGAGCAGACTTACATTCGCTCTCGTAGCCTTCGTTCTGTTCACAGTCGGATGGACGGAACAACGGACAAATGTATAAACTAATTGATTGCCCACGTTTGCGTTTAAGAGAAGAAGACGCATTTCGGGGAGGGAGTGCAAATATGATTATTATTATTATTATTATTATTACGATTCATATAAATTTGTATAATATAATTGCACAATATAATTGCGAATATTATTAGGTATATATGTTATATTATGCATTTAATGCATAATATAACATATATGCCTAATAATATATTATGCATTTAATTCATAATTATAACAATTCTCAGCAATGCATTATATTATCTATTTAATAATGAAAATAAGAATATTGAAAAAAAAGAAAATAAAATAGAATCAAACTTAATACATACATATAATTATATAATTAGCTTTTTATAAATTAGCATTTTTAATCTATTTTGAATTGAATAAAATTAACAGATATCTCTATTTAAAGTAATATTCTAATTTTTAAAGATATTTTGTGGTGTCTTATATTAATGTTTATCATAATATTTACAGAAACGGGAGGACAGCTGATAATCCTCATTTACATAAAAATTTTTTAAATGTACAATTTTACAAGGAATCTAAATGCAAGATAATAAAATATTTAAAAAAAATATACAAAGTTTCCCATATCAAACTTATTTCTTTTAATATGCTAATTCTTTAATCAATTTTAAATCCATATTATCTCGAAAATTATATGAGAAAGAGAGATTCTTACGAATTAGAACTTAAATTAAGATTTCGTATTGAAAAGTAAAAATTTAAAAAATTATTCAAAGAATAAGCTTTTACATTTCCTTAGCAGTTCCATAGCTTAATTTAAAAAAAATCTACATTTTTATTTGTTTAATTCAAAAACTTTTTATCAACATCTTTATTATTTTTCTAAAAAATCGATCAAAATTAATTAAAAAATTCAAAACAAAATAGGAAAGAATGATGTGGGATACTTTTATATACAATCAATCATATAGCAGCTTGAAATGAGAGAATATGAAAAGAAGTTGTAATAATATCATATATAGTTAATTGAATTATTTATATATCTATATTAATTCAATACATAAACGCTCCTTCCTCGTACTGCGCTACACTAGCGGTAGTACGCTTGATTGTACCTATTTCTAATGTTAAACGAGAACAGTGTCGATCGGAAGCGCGGCCAAGGAAAAGGGATATGCCCCGATTCATGACTTCTGTCCCGTCCATCGGCATCATTGCTGTTTTATTACCACCGTGCCTCTACCACATTCAAGGTAAAAGGTAATAATTCGCAAAAAGGTATCACACTTTAGACACGATCGTGGAAATGGTAATCTCAAGCTTCTGCAATCTCGTGAAACAGTATCATGAGATTGCCTGATAGCTTTCATCGACAATAATTGACAATTAGCTCAATAGTAATTCATATTCGTTCACGATCGTTCCTAAAGTTCCAACTCTGTACACGCTCGATGTCTATTTGTCGCTACGACGAATTGTCACTCGCATAAATCAATCGGTGTACTTTTCACCGTTCCAACACATCATACATCTCATTGTTTCTACATTGCACCAAGTAACAAAGCATATCTCATCTCATCTGAGAATCTCCATTGACTCGCAACTATCACGCGAGAAGATATGTTCCGTACCTTAATAACACCGGCACAATTTAATGTCAGAAATATGTCTCTCTCTCTCTCCTCTCTCTTTCTCTCTTCCTCTCTCTCTCTCTCTCTCTTTCTCTCGGTTGTATGAGAGATGCGAAACGAGAGTTTGGCAACGACAGCGCGTTGCCACATCTCAAATAGAACTCGTTAAAAATAACAGTTACGTATCGTTCATGTGTTGATATATGAGAATCGAGAAAGGCACAGAAGCAGCGAAAAGCCAAGTCCACTTTTCGCGATAATTCTGGCACGTTTTAGCCACTCATTACCCAGTTCTTGGGATCACGATTGGATCGCTCATCGAATTGAATCAAATGTCGCACTGAAATACTGTTCGTTGATCAATTTTCGTCTCTCGGCAGACCGATAACGCGCGATAATCTCTTTTGTCCAAAGGTGTTACCATCCAGGGCGGGCCATTAGTGAGAACCATGGATGTAACGGCTATGACAATGGCGTACGCCAAACGGAGAAAAAAAAGAAAGAAAAGAAAACAGAGAAGACCTATTTTGGTAAGCCGAGACAAAAAAAATCTATCGTATACAAAAATAAACTTAAAATATATTTCATTAATTGTAGAAGAAGTGATAAATTAATGAAATAATACAAACATATACTACATGGATATATGGATAATATATTACTGATCTTATAAGTATAAATGTTAAAAATATGCAAAAATCTCCTCCAAACAATTTTTATTTTGAAATATTTGATTAAAATTTCGCTGATGTTAAACCATTAATATATCTTTTTAATAAATTCAGGGTAATACCGAAGATGAAGAGGAAGGGGAGTACAGTTCCGAATGTGATAATGATATATCGTCTTCCCGATTACCTTGGTCAGAATGTCCAGCAACGACTGCGAGTATAACTACGACAACGGCTGCGAATTGGCCACTCAATCCCGAGTGCCAGGAATTTCAATTACGGCCGACCATCCAAACTCGAATCCTCTCTAGTCCTGTTTCGACACCCGTTGTCACTACTGTGGCCGAAGAAGTTATATCGTCTGCCAACGATGTATCGGATGTATCATCCTACGTCGAAACTGAACCCTCCAGCCGCCAGACTGAAAAGACATGTGATTCCACTGTCCAAAGTCCAACGAATCAAAAAGACGCAACAATCTGCGATACACAGCACATCTTTACGCCAGTGGAAACACCAGTGGAATATATTCATTCGGCAATAGTTGAACACAAGCCAAAGAATAAAAATGCAGAAAGCATTAATAGTCAAGAGAATCATCTAGTCGCAGATGTGACAAACGAGACTGCGGAAAATAGCAATGCTCTGATTGATCACGAAGAGTTATTAATCGAGAATGATGGTTTAACCAGTGCCAACGCGAAGCATGAGCTATTCGAAAGTAGCAATGATTTTAATGTGACAGATATGTTAACTGCAATGAATAACTGCATCGAATATCCTGGAGAAGGTTTAACCAATGGCGAGAGATACTCCGAACATTTTATCGATTTAACGGAAAAGTCAAAATTGGCAAGTTCTCAGGATAATTTCTCCAATTCAATTACAATAGAGGTTAACGAAAAACGAGAGGAAGAGGAAGTTCGACAGTTACAACATAATAACAATTCGTCAATTATGCGAACAACATCGTTCGTATTGCCCAAAAAATACAGCAAAAAAGGTTCGAAATTTGTGAGAGAACCTACTCCGGGACCGGATTTAGACATGGAGAACGGAAAACTTATACAACAATTCGAAGCCGTCGAGCTGTTGGAGGATTCGTGCACAGTCGCGAACAACAAATTGGACGAGACTGATCAAGAAGCGACAAACAATAAGATCGCGTTAGAGATGCACAGTAACGAAAATAATAAGACTAAAACGAATCAGAATACGATAGAGGTTTTAAACGAGGATTCCGGATTCGAGAGTCAAACTCGATTATCGGAATATCCCATCACAGCCGCTGTGAAGGAATGGCTACGTCGGGCGAATTCACCCGATCTTTTCGTGACATCGGCGTCAACCTCGGAAAGCGAGACGGATGAGGACGACGATGAAGAAATGGATGCTAAGCCGCCAAAAAACTTGCAAGGCAACCCCATGCCTGCACTATCTGCTAATAGCGGCGTCGACAACGTTACATTGTTGTCACGCACGGCTAGCTGCGGCGAATTCGCAAGGACCAACAATAACAACGTCAAAAACAATCAGATGGAGGATAATTCGACGTTAATATCGATCGGCAGAAGAAAAAGAGATGCGAAAGGTACAAAAAGAAAAGGAAAAGCGAAGATAATCGATAAGCGGAACAGAAATGTTGATGAGAAGACGCAAAATCAATTGGTTTCCTCGTTGGTTTCCTGTAATCGATTGGAGGACTTCGTTGCTGCCGTGAGATTAAGAAATACGCCGAAAAACAATGTTGGTGACGTTTGCGAATTTACTCAGAAGGATAGCGTTGCGGGTATGAGGGTTGCTTTAAGTTCTCGGATAAACTCGAAAAGAGTTAATGCAAAACGAATAAAGACATCGAGAAAAGTCAATAGAAATCACGTTGAAAATATCGATATCAAAATGCGACGTATAGACGTTTTAAATGATGAGAAAGATAAGAAATCGAAGGAATACGGTATGGTGAGTGTACGGACGTTTGAGAAAGGGGAAATCATTGTCTCGAAAGATGGCAAATTATTACCGATGTCCTTGTACGAAGCTGTTCCATCTCTTAATGGTCAAGATAATTCAAGCGCGATGAAGACCGCTGCTCGTATCGATATGATCAATAAAAATACAGAGGAGACCAGAAATAGCAGCGAGAATGACGAAAATAGTATAATGATAGCGTCCTCTGTAAGCATAGAGGAGCCTGATGTATTGGAGTGCTGGGAAGCGGAAACTATAGAACCTGTGATAACCCCGAGAAGGATGCTGCAAAGTCCGGGGGTCCTGTACGAGGGTGAAGCTGCGGAAGAGGATAACTTGGAAATCGAAAGAGCTATAGTGGAACATGTGCAGAAATATTATAAGTTGGAGCAGAATAGCGCTATCAGTGTAGAGGAAGAGTCGAGCGAGGAATTTAGCACGTCAGTAATCTCATCAAAACCGAAAACTGTGCCAAATAATTCTGAAAAAATCATTGAGCATTTCTGCAGCGAAGAGATTCCGATCTTTATACCGAATAGAAATCAGGCTGTTGTTTCGGAAGATGAAAAAATACCCGTCGATGAGGCATTCGAAGTATATGAGAGTTGTTATACCGGAAAATCGCCGTTCTTAGCATTCGATTCGAAAATATTCAAGCAACGTCCTCTGTATGGTCAGAATAGTGAAGGTCCGGTACCGTGCAGAGCAGTATGCTGTAACATACAATAATATTGGAAAATTTCAGATATACCCTTTATCACAAACTTTCCTTCAAATGAGAAAATATATTATTATAACATAGAATGTGTATAGAAGAAGGAAATTGTGTGATACAGAATATATTATAATAATATATTATTCTAATCGCGCGCGTCGAAAGGCCGTCCTTGTCGAAGTAGGCCATAAGATGTTGCGCTTTTCTCGGGTATATCAGGAGGCACGTATAAGTACGTGTATAAATACCTCTTCATAAGTCAAAACCAAATATTTTACCTCCTATTGAGCAAAGATTTCGATATTCGAATCGATATTCTTTCGAAAATTCAATGACACGCTCAAGAAGGACTAAATGTTGTTTCGAAAGCATTGCAGATCCATTTTTGTAAATAGTTGTAAGAGTTTGCTTTGTAATTGTATTCTTTGTGAAAAATCTTCAAAATTTTATGTGTGTGGAAGCATGCGTGTAGTATCATTCTACAATAGTATTTTACTATTGTCATTGAGAACATTGCCGTATGTTATTCTTCATAAAAAAAAAAAAACAAATTCGCAATGTTAGCTTTTATCTGGACCGAGCTTATCAAGAGGCAATACGTTGTTTTTCGCGAATATAAAAAATGTTATTTTAAATGAAATGAAAGAGAGAATTACACACATATGAAGGAATATTTGTCGAGGCATAGAATGCCAAGCTGTTATTTTTATTCTCACTACGATATCTCTCATAACAATCTGCCTCTGGAAATGACTAAAGCATTATTTTTACAATCTACATAAAAGACATGAATGTTAAAAGACTAAGAGTTATTGTTGCACGTGATCACGTTGGATGGCCTTTTGCTTAGGGAAGTTCTGACTGCTCACAATTTTCAACTTAGCATCATTGGAGTATCCTGTGCATATTCATCTGTAAGGTTTTAAACCTTTTTTTTCTAGTCGAGAAGGGAAATATATATTGTATACAGAAGAAAATCGACAGAATAGATAGTCCAATAATACATGCTTTTAAAATAGCGATACGTAATAACCATACAGGATGTAATATCACATTCTCATAGGAGATACTAGTTGAAAACGAGCAGCGATAAAACAGTGAGCTACTTGTAGATGTACCTTAGCCTGTTGAAAAGTATAACGAAATGTATATAGAAAGCTTATGATGGTTAAAGAATAATAATCTGCATTGGAGATCGGTAAATGTCTAGAATAAAGATTATTATATAGATTTTTTGGAAACTCTGCTATGATATGTAATTTATGTCGCAAAATCCATAAAATTTTTCCCGCTATCAATTTTAAAGATGTATCATTTTTAAGACATTTTTTTAAATTAATGTACTTTCATATCTGGCACTTTTTATTACATAAATTTATCTTTCACATCTCAAAGTTTCGAAAAGATAAGATGATCTTCACTCTAAATATTTACCGAAAAAAATCAGGAAAAAATAAAAAGATTTTTTTTCTATCATAGATGCGTTTCAGATCGGAATCGGATGAACGCACCGCAAAGAGATGCATATGTGTACTTACCACACATAATAAGCTATAACACTTGTTACGACATAGTTCACGCTTTAATTGATTTGTCAAGAATAGATCGAGAGTACTTTAGGTTGCATATTACGTAGGTCAATTGATAGACATGGTTCATGAAATCTCATTGCATACATATATCCCATATCACAATATGCATAACATATACCTCAAAGAAATATGTAAATACAATATCGATCAATCCAAAAACAATTAGAGAAACATGATAAGATGATAATATCAATAATATATAAAAACAATGATGAGATAATAAAATGATAAAGTTAGTTATTCGCGATGCGAATAAAGGATAAAACAATGCTGGTAAAGATGATAATGAAAGAAAAGGCGATAACAAAATTTATTATCACATAGCAGCGATATATATACATATACACCATTGTTCCTGTGCAAAGTTCTAGTTTCCTTAAGCATACGTATAAATCATTTCCAAGATGATCCGTATAGCTCTACAAACGTTCATTCACACCAAAATATATTAAATATAAGTACGAATATATATCGTTAAATTGAAATGCGCGTTGCATCAATTGTGTGCCTTATTCTGTGGCGGCCGTTTTTGTAACTATTTCAAAGCACTCTCCTTGATAATAGTCAGTAGCAAGATCGTGATACAGTTGATTTGTTTAAAAAATTGATGAGAGAAAGATAAAGAAAAGCGCGCAGACAAGGCTGCGATAATGATCTTTATCAGTGCATGCATACCCCAAACGAGAATTTCTTTGATTCCTTTTCGCGAAATAATCAACTTCTATTTATCAGACTGATCTAATCATGGTATGCGATAAATTCATAAAGGCATTAAAGCGTTGCATCTTACATCGAGTCATATTACTGTACAATTATATTTTAGTTGAAGTTAACACGTATGGTATAAGTGTACTTGAATTTTGTTGTGTTTTTGCTTATAAAAATATGAATAAAATGTTTCAATTTTTAAAATCAACTATATGCTCTTGATTTATTCAAATTGTGTATATATGACTGCAATATTTTAAAATTGCGATGAAACGTAACAGAAGAAGTGCCATCAGTTTGATCTCTTGCAATTGCATTTTTTTATAACTTTATAAAATATCTTCTTTTTCTTTTAAAATAAATTTAAGTTAAAATTGTGAAGCAAATAAAAATTTGTTTTAACAAATTTATTTCAAAAGAAAAATATATTTTATAGAAAGTATAATTAAGTAATGTAGATTCGCGTTGGTTGACGAGTCCTTTTTGCTGCCTAATCTTTATAAAACGTTCTATGTCTTTCATTTCACAAATTTACATGAAAGCAAAAAAATACAAATTTGTTAAATAAACTTATGTATCACAGACAGGAGCCTGAACGACCAGTTTTTCGCGGAATAAAGTCAAAATCATAGGGATTTTATATATTATACTAGCAGAGAGAAGATTGAGAGATGTCATGGCCCGCTTTTAAGCCGCAATCGCACTACGAGGCTTGAAGCTGCCATGTATGGCACCTTTATGTTCGATACTTCGTTTGATGATTCGGGTGGCACCCGATTGACACGTCGCCAATTGGCCAATTCAAAATAGGACTCTCTGATTGGTTAATCGTTGCTGGTTACCCTAGGCACAAGTCGATATAATTGGCTGTGGTCAAACGGGACGCTCCCGATGATTCAATTTGGACAAAAAGCACATATTTCTTTATCTTGATTGATCAATGATTAGAAGCACTGAAATACTGTCAACTGAAATATATGGTTAGTTTACAATCAACGTAATATTTTGGAATTTTTTCGCGGTTTGCATTTTATGTATTTACAACGATTGTAAAAGTGTATCTATTAATATAGCGATATCGCATATTAACTGCGCCATATATCTACTTGTCAGTTCATTATCATCAGTTATCATTGTTTAAATAATAGCTTTTTACTTAAACGTATGTGTATTTTTCAACATTCGTATTGGAAGACGCATCAAGAGACGATACAGGAAAATCAGGATGGCATCTGCTCAGGTATGCATTTCCCTTATAAATTGTTGATATTTTTCTATAATTTTTTATAATAAGAAATCTGTGTAAAATGTATAACCTATGAAGTGATTATCTAAAAAAGAAATATGTATTTTAAAAGGGTAAGAGAAGGTAAACTTATACAAATCGTTACAGGTAAAAGAACTGGTAAACTTATACAAATCGTTAGCTGCACATCCATCTTTAAGCAGTGCACGGATCCTGGGTGTTGCGAATAGATTATCCATACAGGGCTTATGGACACAGAGAAATCTGGAGAGGAAGACGGACCAACGTTTCTTACAGAAATATGACTTAAATTCAGACCTAACTCCAATCTCAAGTGGATTTCCAGTTGACGTTACCACAGAGTACATATAATTTGCATATATGTTTAATAAATATATGTTTTATAAAGATAAGATAATACTTACTATTATCATACAAATATTGCTTACATTTGAATAAATCTGTGTTAAATAGGCTCATGTCTACTTTGACAAAAAATGAAGAACATAGAGCTGTATTGCGACAAGCTACAATTGATAATTCTACAAAGCAATTTATAGAAATTTGGGATAAGCAACATATCGTGAAGAATTATGATTTATCTGCTTTGGATGTTCATGGCGATGTTTATACAGATGGTATAAATAAATATCATATAAACAAAAAATTTATTTTTTAATATGTATTACAATATTTGCTTTTTTTGCAGTCGAATTCCGATCGTTTGAATGGTCTCCTGATAATACTAAAGTATTATATATAGCAGAAAAGAAGCTTCCTAAGTCAGAACCGTTTTATAAGCAAAAGCCATTAGATAAGAAAGATAAGGAGAAGAAAGAAGATGAAGAAGCAACAGTGGTCGGTAGTCTTTTATTTTTTCGAAAATATATTTCATAATATATTTCATAATACTTTATATATATATATATATATATATATATATATATATATATATATATATAATTTACTGCATTTTGTCTGTTAATTCAGGGTAATGAATATATCTATAAGCCACATTGGGGAGAGCAGCTGGTAGGAAAACATCGACCTGTTGTTGTAGTTCTTGATACAACAACAGACAATATTACGGTTTTATCTGGAATACCAGATGAGCTTTCCCCTGGTCAAGTGATTTGGACAAAAGATCAGGATGTAGTTGGTGTTGCTTGGAAGCACGAGCCACAATACCTAGGACTAGTTGCATGCACTAACAGATATTCCTGGATATTTTTATTGAAAAATGGAGAATATCGTAAGAAATATTTAAATAGTTGCCACAGAAAGTATATATATTAAAAACAGAAAAAAATATTATGATAACTTTTATTATACAGGGAAATTATCTGACGATGAATGCGCTGTGCACAGCCCTAGAATTAGCCCTGATGGAAATTATCTTGTTTGGTTACAGAGGGAGGCTGGTGCTCTCCCGCATCATAATGCACATGCGCTTATGCTACGAGACTTGAGAATAGAGAAAAATCATGTAATATCATGTTAAATTAAAAATTACATTAACCAGAAATTAAAAGAGAAAATTTGTTTATTGTTTTAAGAATGAAATTTTTATATTTTAAATTTAGATTAATCAAATTGTGGAAATAGTACAAATGAGCAAGACAATTAATCACAACAAGCATTTTTATGGGATATATGGTCGTTTGCCTTATCATTGTTGGAGTGATGATTCTCAGTACTTATTTTTCAGTACACCGCAAAGAAACAATATCGTTTCATATATTGTTAATATAAGTAAGATATTAAAATTTTATGACAATAGAATTATAATTTAGCACAATAATATTTTTCCCTGCTATTTATACCACCCATAAAAATTATAAATTTTATTTACAGAAACAAAGGATGTTACTGAAATAAAAAACAATGGAAGTAGCCTTAGTATACTGGATGTAAAAGGGGATATAATTGCATTTTTAAATACCTCCTTAACACAACCTGCTAGTCTTATGGTAGGTCGTTTTAAAAGTAAAACAGCAAATATTGGTGATATCCCTAGAATTACAATTACAACTCCAATAAAAATTGATGAGCTTAAAGAAATTATGTATGAATCTAATGAATATGTTTATAACAATGATGACAGCATAAGTAAGTACCTTGTACTGTTTATGCAACTTTTTCTTATAATTATCTCAAAAAATTATATCTTTGTATATATGTTATTTTCAGAGCAATTTAATTTTATTTACTTTGGTCCGAAAAGTGGTAAAGATAAATCAGTTCCTTTTGTAGTGATACCACATGGAGGTCCTCATAGCAATTTCACAAACGTATTTTCGTTGGATCACTCTTTCTTGGTATCAGCAGGTATTGTGTCATATTAGATCATATTTCTGTGCATAGGTATAAGCAAGAAATACATCGAAATAGATCGCAAATCAGTCAAAGTTATTCTATTCTATGATGCTGTTCTTATTGTTAAATTTCAAATCTTATACACTGATATTCTTCCATTTACTTATACTTTGTTTTAAGAGAGAGAATAAATTCAATTCACATATTTTAGTAAAATAAAAATTGAAATGGTAGAATATGACGACCATAATAGAAAAAAAATATTTTTTAAATATAATCTTGTATTTATTGGCCTTAATGTACAATTTAGAGAGAAATCTGCATCATGGATAAAAGCCAAATGTTTTCTTATGGAATAGAGTCATATATTTAATGGCTATATCTAAATCTGTAACATTCAAACAGATTATATATGTTTAATTAATTATATAAAATTCAAATTTATGCATAATTAATTATAAAAATTCAGGTTTTGCGGTAATACAAGTAAATTATCGTGGTTCAACGGGAATGGGTAGTGCGACTGTAGAATACCTTCAAGGAAAAGTTGGAGACGTAGATGTGAAGGACTGCATAACTGCTACACAAGAAGCAATCAAAAAATATCCTTGGCTCGATCCTGAACGCATAGGTCTTTGCGGTGGATCTCATGGTGGATTTTTGGTAACACACTTAAGTGGACAAGCTCCGGTAAGTGAGACAGATATAATAAATTTCTAAATTTAATAATTTAAATATCGCGTAAATTATACACAAACAAATATATTTATTCTGTATAAAAATCTATTTTTACTTCAGGATATGTACAAAGCAGTAGTCGCGAGAAATCCGGTAATCGATATCTCCATCATGTTCGGCATATCGGATATTCCAGATTGGTAAACAGATATTTAACATCTAATAACGTTAATATTAACGTCTAAATTATTCAATATCCCGTATTTGTATTTCAGTCGCAATACTCTGACTAAGGAAGAAAAAATAGCGTATCTTCATAATGTGTAAGCTTAACCGTTATTTCAAGTGTCTCGAATCCATCAAACGCGACTAATCTAAGCTTGACTGAAATACAGTTTTCCTTTTTTCTCTTTTTTATAAAATGTATTGTGAATTATATATGATGATAATTCACACACACAAATGTTTGTAATATTTTATGTATTAATACGAATGCGATTTAATTTTCATTGCAGGTGCGCTGTAGAAGCAGGTTTCTCTTACGTTGTTAGCGGTTCGTGGCCCGATAACATCGACATGTTCGTAAAAATGAAGAAATGCTCGCCAATTTTCCACATCGATAAAGTTAAGGCGCCTACTTTGATTTGTATTGGAACGAAAGATTTGCGAGTACCATCCTCTCAAGGAACAATGTGGTACCATCGGCTCAAAACTAATAAAGTGAAAACTAAGTAAGTTGGTACTCTTAATACAAACTGAACTTAAAATCATATATTGCGTTATCGAAAAAATTTACACATTACAGAATGCTCGTATACGAGGACAATCATCCATTATCAACTGGACCAGCTGAGATTGATCATATTATCAACGATTGTCTGTGGTTACTCGAGCATACATCTATACGTACAGAATTCAAAGACAAGAAATAAATGTTCATCTTGCAACATTTTTTTACATGTGTATATATATATCTATAAGTCTTTATTATCACAAATTGGATATTTACATATTATTATTGCATACATTTTATAAAGAGACTTATATAACATTCAATCTCAAAAATATACACGCACACGCCTATAAGGTCTATATTGTTATAAAATTTTTATACTTTTATAGATACAAAAAAGTTGTTACATACATATCCACGTGTATACCTAAAGATATATCATTTATCAAAAAGCATGCTACAATATAGCAAGTTTACGTATTATTTGTTTTGTGAATGTATCTATGAACACAATAGATTCCATTAGATTTTTTTCTTTGATATAATTAAAAGTTACTTTTTTTGCCTAATATTAATACAAATATCATATATAATTTAAATGAGCAAAATTAATCAATAAGAAATAACTTCAATTAATTAACATATTAAAGAAATACTGCATTGATATCTTGATGTAAGACTGTAAAATCATATTTTGTTAAATATCAAAAAGCGATTTCATAATCTGTTCTTTCATTGATTAATGAACAAACATCTTGCAATATACATTTTCTTTAATATTTATTAGAAAATAATATCAACCATTGAAATTCAAACTTAAAGAAGCTATATATAAGAAAAAACAAAACTTAACCGAGTTAGATAGTAATTGTGCATTCCTTGTAATTTCATCAATGTACAAGAAACAAACATGTTAGTATGATAGTACTGCAGTGCAGTGACGTAACTATATAGTGAAGCGTTTTGATTGTAAAAGTTAATTACATTGGTCAAATTTATCAAAATTGACATATATAAAAAAATTAATTGATTTTTAAAGACTTTCTTATTCACATAAAAAGAGAGGAATATGAGAGAAAATGTGAATTCGTCTGAGAAAAAAATTTATTACTAAAAGAATCTCTATTATACGTATTTATTATACAAATCTCTCCATTATTATTCGTCTGTAATATCAATATTCTAAAGCTGCTTATATCTTTCAGTTTGTGTTAGTACACGATATCAAAATTAATGCTAGATTCATATTAGTTTTTGTTTGTCAAGGCCCTCCTCTTATATTCAATAGAATTTTGCTCACACTTTGTGGAACAAATTTATGTATAAGGGCGATCTAGTTACGTCACATGGATGTACGCAACACGGCGTCTAATTAAAACATTAGACGATGTATTCAATGCTTAACTCTAATCAGATTCAATAACTTACAATCTGGCAGGATTACTATGTTCGGGAAATAACGAGTCATAACTGGGAGGCAGATCCTTGTTCGCAACAGGGGAAGATACTGCGACCTCCAGCATAGGAGCCGTGGGTACTGCACGATTGGATCCCAGACCTCCGTCCGTGTCCGGTAAGGAATTAGGCCGCGAGCACATGTTCGGACCGGCGCAATCCGATGACCAGCACAACTTGCGAGATTTCTTGCAGATCCACAAACACATAATGAAAATAATGAAGCAGAGGATCATGGTGGTGACTGCTCCTACAGTGACTTTCGTGGCAGTATCGTTTTTGGGAAACCGATCGGTGATTATATATGAGCAATTAATTTCATCCGAACAGATACCGAACGGACAATTGTAAATCATATCGCACAGGTATTCCTTCCGAATACAAAGGTTACGTCCAACTGGTTTGAATCGTTCGGGATCCAGCTTTTTGCAATCTGCAAATAAATAAAATTGTTTGTAATTTGTATATATTTATTATATTTGATATATCGGAATGAGAAACATACTTCTGTATGGAGTATAGACTATACTAAGATCCAGATTTTCTCCATCCAACAGTCTCTCCTTGGAGATGAATATCTCAGTTTCAAATTCTGAATCCATTGGAAATTTCCATTTTCTAATGGGATCAAACTCGGCATACTTGTCATATGATTGCAGCAAGGTGTCATTCATATTATGTAAATTATCTTCAGATTCAATAATCGGAAAGTACGTTGTCTGGTGATTTATCTTCCCACATAATTTTTCTGTATGATGACCATCAGTTCTCTTAAACTAATAGAACGTCTATTAAGGGTCTAATATTGCAAGTGCAAATTTTATTTGTATCATAATATAATTTTAATTAATTCTTTGCTTTATTATAATCAACAATAATTTGTTAATATAAATTTGTTAAATATAAAATATAGAAGCACAGTATTCATTATCTTTATATATATTAAATTTATATATGTATTTAAACTTTATTTAAATTTAATCTGAAAGTTAATACAATCTTTTAATAATTCGAGAAAATTAATTTAAAATTTGTTTAAAATTTGTTAAAATATTATATAGCAAATTTTCTAGAATCATTGAACAAATCAAACTCTAGTTACATGTGATATTTTTCATGTTTGTTATATAATATATTTATAATATATTTATATTAATTTAAATTTCTTTTCTTGAAATAGTATTATCGCATAGGATATGAACGTAAATGGTAATTATGTAATGCTAAATAATTACTACTTCAAGTAGATCTTCAAGAAGAATATTTTCAAAGATTATAACCACAATTACTTCTTATTGTTAAATATAATAATGAAACATATATGTTAATATTATGCATAAATGCTAATATTTTATATTTACATACACGCATACTTTAAAACTTTGAAATGCAAAAAAGTAAAAAACTTATTTTAAATGTACCTACATTGAAATTTGCCTGATATAATCTTTGCGATAATAGATGAAATAAATTTTAATTTTCAGACAGTTTTATTCCACAGAATGGAAAATTTCGTGAAAGACTCGGTTAAATTAAGGAGGAAATCTGACTTGCTTCGGAAATCATCCGGGCTCATCATCCGTCAACTCACCCGTACATAATCCAAACACTGATTGCCGTTTTGTCGAAAAGACATTCTCTGGATAACCGCAAAGATGCCTTCGTTTCTCGCAATCTTGAAGGTGAACATGCACGTAAGATTGCGTTTCACGATCCAACTATCGAACATGTGATGCGACCTGACGATCGTCGCGGTACTATTGTGTACATCGTGCGAGTGCTTCTTGTTCAAAGGATGACAGAACCTCTCATTCTCGAGGGCATCTACGGGAAGAAAGAGCACACACGGAAGGTGAGGTTAGAAACGACAGTATAAATACACACACGAGTGTCATGCCATTCGCGATAAATCGTGAACCAAACTTGGAAACTTACACTCGTTATAATTGTCGTAACGCATGCACGAGCAGAGATGGACGGTCGCGATCAGGAAACAGACGACGCTCGTTGAGGCGCGTGGCTGGACCATCTTTTTTTTTCCTTCCCTCTTTTCCCGGGGCGACTCGCGCGCGGCCCGCAAGTGTCACAAAGCCATATATGCAGAACGTTAAAAGCGGTCGCACGGTCGACGCGCGGATGATTAGATGCCGTTTATTCTCTTCCACTGCCGCGTCAGATAGATTCTGCGAGGGATTACTTTCGTGGAATCGCGCGGAATGAGAAGCCCAACTCTGAAACTCGGCTTCTGTGAGAACGTATTTACCGAGAAATGCGTCATTCCCTCCTCGCGGAGAGAGAGGGTGGGAGGGGGAGCTAACCAAAACAAGTCGCGACGTCATCCGAAACGTCATTGAGTTCGAGATCGACATCGATCACGTGATCGAGACCTCGAAAGAAATGTCGCCGCGCGTTTTCTCGGAGTGCAACAACATTCACTTTTGAGGAAATAATAATAATTGATAGTCTGATAATAGGAGCGGGGATAAAATGTCATGTGAAGAACCGAGTAGGAAAATCCACGTGGAGTTTGGCGAAGTGGAAGCGGGCGCCGCGGCTGTCAAATGGATAGAGATAATCAATCAAAGTTGCGTTAGTATATTTGATTTCTTGATCTACCTAATAACTGACTGTTTCGTTGCATGAGAAATCGTAAGATTCGCAAAATCGTGAATCACGATTATGATTAATGCTAATTATATATAATGCAGATGGAACAGACTTACGAGGCTCGAAGAGATGCTATTACCAATCCCCTGGATCACGTGTTTGAATTATGCAGTTACTCGTGGACTTTGTCTCCCGGCCAAGTATACAAGTGCAGAATATATTATCGGCCGTTCATCCCGCTCTCCGTAAACGTAGATTACTTTACGATCATGGATTCCGTTGGCGAACGCACGGAAATTAGAGTCCGTGGAATGTGTATTGGTATGAATTTTTTTATTTTCGAACAACAGTGATTCTGAGTATCTTTCATTATTAAAGATTTTATAAAGGCTTTAAAAAAGATACTTAATAATATATCTTTTACAATAAGAAGTTAGATCACTTGACATTGATAGAATTTTGAAACAAAGTATAACTGACACTAATAGACCTTTTAAAAGAATTTATTTAATCACGATAATATTTTAAAAGCCGAGATACGATAAGATAAACATCTTCAGACTCTTAAATAAGTATGAAAATTTCTCACTTAATTTCGTAGAATGAATTGCAAATAGCTATGAATCATTAATTATCTGGATGCTGACATGAGTAGTACCTTCTTGTCTTGCGATTATGTGTGTGTGTATAAGGAATGACGTTAGATTTATGTTGAATGAATATTATCATCTATGATGTAACTAATAACATATCTAGGACCTATAATTTCCACGTCTACAACGAGATTAATTATGATATGCACGAGTAAGAATTACGAAGTCAAGAAACGTATCAAGCTCGTTAACGATTCTAAAGCCACGGCAATTTTTATGTTCGATGTTGATCTGACGCAAAAATCATTCAAAATCGATGCAAAACAAGGATACATCACACCTCGTTCTCGCAAATACATAACAATCACTTTTGCGCCCCAGGAAGCTGGAATTTACACATGCCATTTGCCATGTTTAATTCTGAATCATGTAATAAAAAGATTTTAGATTTTTAGATTTTTAATAAATTAAAATTTAATTAAAATCAACAAATGTAAATTTCCGCGCCTTACGTCAAGATAATGTCATGGCTAACATTTGAATTGATACAATAATTCTTATAAATAATTCATATTGAAATATAGGAATATTTTATATTCCTTTTTAGAGGATGCGGAAACACTTTCTATTTATAGATGATATGAATTTATTTTATATTGCTCATCATTGATAAAAACATAGAAAAATTTATCTATAAAATTTAATTATTCTTATAAATTTTAAAACCAATCTCTTGTTATGAAAATAAAATTTAAATTAAATTGACAATCAATAATTAAAAATTTAATTTTATGCAAAAGGACATCATATTTTTCTTAGATACGTGTGTTTAGATGATGCTCATTTATTATTCTATAGCCCGGCATATATTTAAAATGATATATCGCATAAAATTTTTCTTAATTATTGTTTTAAATTATGAAAAAAATTTTTATTATACAAAATATTCAAATGATTCAAAATTTTTCTTAATTACAGAGACCGATTATTATAGAAGTGTACGGTTATTACAGTTCGATATTACATAAAGCCAACATACAGAATCGCTTTAATTATCCTACAAGATTGAAGAATGGTTTCGAAGGTTACACAAGCGATACTATCGTTGCTGCGCAAGATTTACCTGCGATCTCTTTGTCGAAAAACTACATCGATTTTGGTCAAGCTAATTTGGTGACAGAAGATACTACGCAAAAAATTTCGGAAACTTTATGCCTAACTAATCACACTCGATCTGATGTATTAATTAAATGGGACCAAGGTTTCATCCTTGAATCATAATGTATATGACGATGCTATCATTAATATGTTTTTCTATCTTTTTTTTTTACCTTTCAAGTATCGCGGAAATTATCAAATCAAAATATAATTATAAATACATCGATTCAGAGGTGTAGCCATTGAGATGCTAGAGCAGGCAAAAAAGCTGACAGAGAAATTTCGCTGCCCGATGACAAAAAAAGAGGATTATATATATGAAAAAGTATTATTGTAAATAATACAATATTACAAATAACTTGCAAATATTTGAACAAAAATTAATAGAATTATTTTTAAGTTGCTTGATTTTTCAAGAGCAGACTGTGCCCCCTGGCTACGCCCCTCCTGGCTATGTCCTCTCTGGTTATGCCTCGATTTATTTTTCCATCTCTTTTATCAGCAATTAATATCAGATTTTGTATAGATATTGAAAAAAATTTTAACATAACACCTGCTATTGCGAAAGTACCAGCATATCAAACAGTTCTGTTCGAAATCACATTTAATCCTAATAAAAGGAGCAATTTATTCGCACGAGAATTCATTGGATATATTTTTATCGAACAAGAAGATCTTTCTGAGGAAACTCTTACATTTCCTGCAATCACGTCCGTGCGATTAATCGGTACCTGTGTTTTTATTACTTTTACATAATGCTGCGATTATCTTAATTTGATGGCAATATCATATGCTCTTTTTTTCGCAGGTAATTCCTTTCCTATTTGTTCCGATGGTTGGATTCCCCAATATGAAATACCTCATATAGTCAAAATGCCTTCTTGCTTACCGTCATTTCCGATTTACACCACATTCCTGATAAAAAAGTTTGGGCATTTACCATTGATGTATCACTTTGTGCCGCCAACATCGAGCCACTTTGTTGTGAAACCAATGATGGGAATAATTCATGAGTATTTGCACTTACAATTAGTAAAATTTATTGTCCAAATGATTCGGATTTAAATAGAAATTATTGTATTTATATCGTGCATAGTTAGATGTATAATTTAGCACGACGATCACATGATTTTTATTTTTACGCATACAAAACATTTTTAATACAAGATTTTATACAAGATATTTTTAGACACTTTTACACCATATTTGATGGATATTTTTAATACATTTAATATTTTTTTCCCTGACATATTATGATCTTTTCTAGAAATTATCAGATCATTGTAGTCGGTATGTTACCCGGTACTGACAATGAACGCGTTTACGTAGAGCGTTGGGCGATACGTTTCAACGGAAATACAAAATCGGAGTGTTTCATAGATTTTCGAGGATTCGCAGAATGTGCTAATGTTAGTTTTAATGATCAAAATCTTGTAAAGTTTGCGCCAACATTTCCAAATTGTCGGGAATTGCAACAATTCTACATGCGAAATATTACTCGACACACGATAAAGTAACTTTTTAAAGTATTAATGTGTGCTGTTATTTCTCCTGTTACAAAAAGTTAATTAGAAGTATTATTCTATGTATTATCAGTTTATTATTGCAATTTTCTTTGATTAATATCGATTTTTTAGATACGAGTTTGTTAATGTGGCACCTGAACTCCGAATTCAAAGTGAAAATAATAAAATTTGCCCTAACGATACCGTCATTCATGAATGGATATTTTGCCCTACTACAATTGGAGACTACGAGTTTGATGTAAAGTGCATTTTAACTGTATTGAAAGACGAAATTCCCATTGGTCCCAGCGTTTGCGTTACGTTACACGTAATAGAAAGCTGTAAATCTGGCTGTCTTATGGTAAATTAAAATTAATTTATTGATAAAATTAAGTATGCAAATTAAATAACTTCTACATCGCATATTTTTACGCATTCACTAGTCAGCACTCGACGAATTAAATTTTGGGATTCAGGCATACAAAACTACAAAAGAATTAAAATTTCACATATTTAACTCGAGTCCCGTAAACATCCATTACAAGATAAAGTGTAGCCATTGTAATTGGCCGATCGGAAATATAGAACGCGATGTAAAAATACAGCCAATTACAGATACTGTTTTTGCCGGACGAGATAAAATGATCACCGTTTCTCTTACACCCACCACACCGGGATATTACGAATTTTTCGTTCAATATTTTGTGAGATTAAATGTTCACTCAGATGCACTAATTCCGAATCAAATGCCAAGAAACATCTGCAAATTGCGTTCTTTATGCGTGTTGCCCACTTTAAAAGTAAATACAATATATAGTATTGTTTCAAATTTGAAATCATACTATTTTAAAATAGAGAAGCATCAACAATTTATTAATAAAAATAATAAAATTTAATATATTATGTATATAATAATTTATATATATAGTAATTGTATTGCAACGAATAATATAGGTAACAAATTTACAATGTTATGGACCTTATCCGGATGTGAGCAAAGCTTTTCTGTGGAAACTGATGAAAATAAATATGTATGCTAAATTTTATATCATATTTACGATCTCGAGAGATAATTTTGCTCTCATATAAATATAAATTGTAATTTTTTTAAACTTAGATTCAATACATTACTTCAAGATTTACAAGCAGAAACGTCACAAACGTTGTACGTAAACTTTCCGGCGATGGTTTTACATGAAAATCCCGTTGTTATAAAATTGCTTTTAAGAAACGTAACTGCAGTAATTGTTTCTTGGAATATTAAAAGAATGAAACTCTGTTCTTGCGGACCCATTGCAAAAATCCAAGGCGTATCGTTGCAACATGCAAAGTACGATTGCTCACACAGGAAAGTGTGCTCTGTGCAACCAAAAACAGGAAATCTTAAAGTATATAACATTACATTAATATTTAATTATTAATCTGTTATTAGTATTTTATATATATTTTAATAAAATACAGCCAGGAGAAGAAAACTGGATGACTCTAGAGCTGCATTACATATTATTAGGAAAAACTGAATCGAAGTGGGACTTGGACCTTGGAAATAATCGTCATATCTTTTTGCTCATGACGATTGAAGGATTATCCAGATCTGATAATAAGCTCCATCTTTTAAACGGCACGCATTTTAAATTTCAGCATATTTACTTGGGAGACAAGAGTCCTATTTATCAGGTTATTATTTTCATTTAAATATAATGTAACGCTTATATAACAAATGCTGTAAAAATTTTTCAGGTATGTTGGGTACATAATGGCACAAATTACAGTATCCCGTTTTCTGTAAATCCCAGAATGATGCGCGAAATAAATCAAGAGTACTGCTATGAGGTTTTTTCCTGTGCGTCTCCACACGCAATCGTAAATCCGCAATCTTCCGTTCCAATTCTTTTAAAATTTCAACCACGACAATTTGGTATATTTAAGGTTTGTCATCATATACAACAAACGAGTGAATGAAAAAAATGAATAATTTATTTCTTTTTCCAAGCCTAAAAATATAGTTTTCTCTTCATTTTGTAATAGGGCAAATTATGTTTGATTCTGGGTGACAAAGAAGAAGAACTTATATTGGAAGGCGAATCTTCTTTGCCGCATAAGTCAGCAGTAATTGGAGAATATGTACCGTCCGGATGTAACTTTGAAGATGACGATATTCCTATATATTTTAATACTGACTGTATAGATGTTTTGCACATACCTACACATAGTCACGTAGTGAAGATGATTATGATGCATAATAATTTAATACAAGACGTACTCGCTTACGAATGGAAGAGGTTTGTTGGTTTAAATTATGAAATAAATTATTTTTCATTGGTGTAACATATATACATCTAAAAGGAATAAATATTTATTTTTTTCTTTCAGAAATGAGATTTCCGGAGTAATTGACGTGGACGTTCATCCACAAAAAGGCGTGATAAAACCAATGTCTGTTAAAAGTTTTCGCGTAACTATAAATACTAAAAAATATCCTTGCGTGATTGATGTTAATATATCGTGTGAGTTTATTAATACTAGTCAAAGACGAGCTTATCAGAGAAGTGTATACAAATTAGAAGATTTGTCTCGAGAATTAAAAGGACAATTTACTATCACAGAAAAAGGCATCAGCGTTCCAGTAAGTGTGTGTATATATATATATATATATATATATATATATTATATATATATATATATATTCAAATTATCAAGAAATCAAGAATCAAGAAATTTTTCTTAAGATTAAATTATTTCATTTTTTTCATTGTTTTCAGAAACCATCGATGGAAGTTTTGGAAAAACCTCAAACCTTTTATAAAACTATAACGATTCGATGTTCTATATATAGTGAAGAAGATAAATTTCTGAAAATTAGTCTAATGGACGAATTAATAAATGCACCTTCAAAGGGAATATACATCGAGAAGAATAATAGACAAATGCTGAAATTCAAGAAAAAGGATGTCAGTCGATCTTTATTTATTATCGAAGGTCTATTATGGTAAGATTCTTAATTTTCACAAATATAATAATAATGAACGAAAAATTTAGATTTATAATTTATTTATAACATGTGTGTGAGAAGAGAGTGTCCTAATTTCGTATATTATTTAATATTTATTTAGTTATTATTATATTATTTGTTATTTTATAGGGAAATAGTCAATAGTAAAGTATTTAAAAACATTATGCAAGATGTTTTGCAGAATGAATTGAGTTTATTTTATTCGCAATTCACAATGAATTTACATGAAAGAAAAAGATTAGTACAAAGATCGTATATTTCACCACCACGAGCATTAATCAATCGTATATTGGAAAGAGTAATATTTTATTTCTATTTCAATATTTGTTAAAAAAGAGCACTTTATCAACTCTTTGTACTTTTTAGATGTTATTCCTCATAATGCACGAAGAGTTTGCTTTAAAGACTGTGCATCTAATTCAGCATACAGATATCAGACATAAAGTCTATTTAAACATAGTATCTGGCATGAATAGAAGAAAGACAATCAAAAAAGGTGTATATCGTCAAATATCAATTTTAGTATTAGAAAAAATTCTCAATAATTTTAATTTCTCAATAATTGTTGCAATCCGTTTTAGAAACACAATTACGTAAAGACGATGAAGATCTTTATGTGCCAACAAGATTATCATCAAGAATATCTTTCGCCATATAATCATCAGATATCAGATATTAATGTATATATACAGTTTTGCTGCTAGCTGCTTGTTGCAATGTAAGTATCTGCGATCCTTCTAAATACAGCTAAAAATTTATTTCCTTTGTTTCTGCTTACTTTTTGACCTTCTTCAGTACTTTCATATAATTTTTCTACTACAGGATCTGTCGCCTATATTAACAATTAAAAAATTTGCTTAATATTACCATAAAAATAAATAACTATAAACAGCTATAAATACTTACCAAATCCTGTTTAGTAACTTCTTCAAACAATGGGTGTTCTTGAAAATGTTGAACTATCCATTCATGCAAATCTTCTACATCTGTTACAGTGTATACAATTGCCTATGTATAATAATAAAAAAAATTAGACCTCTTAAAATTAATATAAAAAATTAAGCAACACACTTACTCCTTCAGCTAACACATAAGCATATTCTGCTAATAAAGATTTGTTTATTATTCTCCACTTATGTTTTGATTTTTTGAAATGTGGGTCTGGATACAAGAAAAACATCTTCTTTAACTATACAAATTAAAAATCCTAATTAATACAAACTACATATTTAATATTTTTACATATCAGATAAACAAGATTTTTATTTTTACTTGTCCTTTAAAGAAATAATTTGGTAAGTATTTCATGGCATTCGTTCTCAGGCAGGCAATGTTTTGATATTGACCAGGCTTTTGCGAACGCAAGGCAGCAATGCGATCCATAACATAATCTGACACTTTTACTCTGATTTCCATACCAAGTATTAGACTATTGGGAAACATTGGCGATAAGGCAACTGAAAATTTATTTATTATGTATGATCATTTTGATTTTTTAGTAAAATGTATTAGCTCACAAAAGATAAATTACCCAGCAATCCTCCATAGCCGCAACCAACATCTGCAAATTCTACGCATTTCTGTGTTTCTTCAGTATTGCCAGAAAAATATTGTGGATACAAGGCACTCCAATCCATTAATTCTGGTTTTATGGGACTAATGTGTAAATAATAAATGATATAAAATAATTTTTAAATTTTAAAAATTAATGAAAATGATGGCAAAATTCTACTTACTATTCGATGCAATGATCAGCTATCGGATTCGAATGTGCACGTTGTCTATAATATTTCTTTTGGGGTAATGCCAGTGTCATAGACATGATCCCGCGCTTAATGTTTTTTTAATTAAATGCTTCGCTAATTTTTCTTTCGCTAATGCAATGTGTCAAAATATAACACGTGTTCACGCGTGCGTATTTTAAGAGGTTATATACAATACTGTACACAAAACGTGCTTATTAATTACTACACTTTGTAATTAGACTTTTCACTATAGTTAATTAAATTAAATATATATTGACTGTTTAAGAAAAAGAAAGACGTGGAAATATGTAATAAAAAAAAGACTACACAAAAAAAAGGAACTCAACAATATGACATATTCATTTTTTTCTGCATTTGATTACATCTTTTTATGATTTCTTAATAATGAAAAAACTTGAATATTAATAAATATACATTTATTGTATATAGTATATTATATTTAAAATGGAGAAAAAAAATACAATTTTTTGACACATAGGTGCACGTGCGCGAACGATCAGCTGATCGAAGCGAGGCGTGCACGTGCACCATCTGGCGGCTGAAAGCAGTATTAACGGAGTTGAGCGGAGAGAAAGAAACGAAGGAAGCGAGTATCTTCGCGTTCTGTATTCTCCTTGTTTTAATGGGCACGCGTTGTTTTTTTTCGTTCGCCGCGATCTTGCGACATTAATAAAATGTAATCGCGAGTGAGAGCGGTGCTTATGTAACATATGTAAATTGACGCTATCGCCGGTTCGAGCGCGGAGGACTTCGGAAAATAGCGGAATCCTCCCAGGTGAGGTTAGGATTAGGAATCTCCATTCCGCGACGATATTCCTTTGTGATGATGGGAATCGTAATGATTCAAGCGTGCGTACGTACGCACACACATACGCATATACGTCTACACGTATGTTTTCCCAGAAACGCGCGGTTACCTTGGTTCGTGGATATTTAATTATACATATTTCTAATTTTCTTCTTTAAGATTAAAAATGCATTATAAATAATCGGATTATTAACGTTGCGATGACAGAAAGTCTCATCGCCTTCGTTAGTGACATGTCATTTTCGATTATGGGATACCTGTATGTAAAAGGAAGTATCTTATTATTCGTAGAAACTTTCGTTGATGTGTAATTCGATTAATGTAATAGATGTGGAATTTAAGTCATATTCGTGTCGATTATTTTTCCAACAACTTGGCGCAAAATCTTTTGAATTTTTTAGTGACAAGAAAAATTATACGAATCAATATTTTTCTATATGCAAATATCATAAAATATTTATGATACATTCTATGCTGACCGATTTTGAACTTTCCGTTCAAATCGCTCGAGTCGAATATATATTGTTGAAATAATTTTGCTTATAACGTATATATAATATTTATAATATTTATAAGATTTTTTTTTTATAAATAAATATTTGTGCAATCTTATAATATTTATAAGATTTACACAAATAATTATTATCCATAAAGAAAATGTAACGTTTGACAAACAAATTAAACAAAAAAACCTGCCATAAGCTGAGAAAAAAGGAGATTAGATATATGTGGGAATTAGATATATGTTATATATATAATTATGGTGATCATTCTATAAATGTATATTTTATGTACTCGTATAATTTTCTATATATTTGACACTTTTAATCAAAATAAATATTATCATAATACTCTGATTATATATTAATATATGTCATACGATTGTAATCAAATGCTTGTTAGATTTCGACAATGAACGATGTGATAATAATAACCTCGTGACATATGAAACTTGAAATGAAAGAATACTTAAGATTAGATAAATTGCTACAACATGAGATATATATTCCCTATGATAACGACATTATATACTTAGACATCAATACTTTTACAATACAATAATTTTAAAATATTTTATGATAACGTTACATTTTTATACTAATAGCAAAAATATGAAACAATCTGAACAAAAAATTCAACATGAGGCGTTTATGGTCTACGCGACAGAGAACGTATTATTTGCACAAATGTGGAGACAAAATTACAATCTATGTATATATTATTTCCGTATATTATATAGAATATAAATTTTTGAACAACTATTTTATCTTTCGCTTGTTTGATGTTTCAGGTCCACGCGAAAGTGACTTTTATTCATGACGATATCGGATTTCCCAAGAGAACGATCTTTCATTTTAATTGGTAAGTCGTTATTTTTTCATTACTCGTCTGATCGGTATGTAAATTCGATATCACGCAAAGCGAAAGCAAAGCGATTGTGTTTTATCAGCTCTATTTGTTATCTTGATAACATCCGGAACATCGCATACATCCTGAATCGATATTGAGAATCGGTAAAGAATTTTTATGAATCGATATTGAGAATCGATAAAGAATTTTTCATTTCATAGTTTCTACACACAGATAAGATTTAATATGATAAATATTAAATAATCATTAATATAAATATTATAAATACCTATTAAATAACCTATTAAATAACCTATTAAATAACCTATTATTATACCTATTAAATAACTATTTAATACTGCTATAAGATAATATACCACAGAACATACATTTTTTTGATATAATCAAATTAATCGAGTAATGGATTTTTACTTGCGTGATTGTTGATACATAATCAATGTTCATGTATCGTATAATTGCATCGCCGGACAATACGCGCTATTAAAAGGTTCAATTAAATTGATGAGTCTCAAAGGTGAAATTAGTGTTTGTATTTATACGATCGCAATTTGTCCACGTGGAGACGGTTACACGCGCCGCATGATATATCGATTGCATACACATTGAATGTAGATAAGTTCCAAGAAAATTACATAACACAATTGATGTGTGCTCTTCAATCGGTGATGTATTAAATCGATGAGAATGATCGCCAATAAGCATGTATCTACACGAGTATTACTCGATTCGTATTGCATCGATTAATCTATGTGCATCAAATGCGAAATGTCGAATTCAATTTTTACATTCGCACAAACATTATAATTAAAAATGGTAGCAGAATTAACGGGTGTAAATTAATAGCTTTGATTATCACTTAATAATATTTATTAATCGTATAAATATCTAAAGATAAAAAATAATAGAAATTATCGATTAAAACCATATTTCACATATTACGCACACATAGAAAAAATATTACTATAACAAAAATTATATATATATTATAAAATTTTATGTTTAAACATTAAATTATTATAAATTATTATTATGAGCGCAAGGAAGAAATATCTTTAGACGAATTATCTAGTTTTTAGTCGTACTATGATTGTTCATAAATTATTTCTTGTGGCTTTTATATTACCGGAGGATAATTTGAGAACCGCTGGTTTATACGAATATACGCAAGAGCCGAATACGACAACATTTGTCGAACGATCACATGTAAATATAAACCGAAAGGTACGACTTTAGCGGTCGTCAAAATTAGCGAATTGATAATATAAATTCATTCGTCAAGAATGTCGCACGAAGACGTATCACTCTCCAGATCCAAATCTCAGGATAATGGTACATCTCCGAAACGGAAATCTTGGAATCCTAAATCATGGTTCTCTCATGGTTCTATTACGGTAAATAGTTTCGAAATTGATAATATTTAAAATAGTTATAAACCAAGGTAGATGAAGATAGAAATTATTATAATTAAGATACAAGAATAATTAATGCATCTAAGTTTGTTTCTCAATAGTTACATATCAAATTCTCTTAATTAAGATCGTTATCTTGGAAAAAAATGATATTAAACTTTACCACGGCAGTTACAGAACATCGTTTCATGTATGTATCTTTCCACGTATTTCCGTTATTAGAAGATAAATAAATCAAATGTGAATCATTGACCTATGCATTTTTCACATATCGCATGTATAAGAGAGAGAGACAGAGAGAGTTTGCTATTATTACTATTATTATAAAACTTAGATTATCTAATATTCTTCTAAGTATGGCAATTTGCAATTATTAATTTAAAATTATACCGTATCATGCGAAAAAAATAACGTCCTTGTGAATAACAAATAATACCCTTGACAAAAATTATGTATACATCTCGCCTGTTATTGTTTGTATGTTTCAAAACTGCTGGATCATACTTTTTAAAATTTGTAATTGAAAACAGTTAATGTTAGACTCTTATAATGCTGATCAACTCTATTTTTTCTTGCATGTTATATATATATATATATATATATATATATATATATATTACAAAAAAAAATTACTATTGTCAATAGTACTGTCTGCGCTTTGGCAAAATTTAGTCTTTCTTTTTTTTCTTTATTCAGACAACTTATTTCTGACATTAACTCTTATAAACAGACTGACAGACATTCATGGCATCCATCGTTATCCATTCTCCCTGTAAATATAAGTCGGTAATGTTACAATGTGTTAAATGTGACATTTGTTTAGTCTAGCACAGCTGATGTATTCAATGATCAGCTGTTTGTACTTCTGGTGGGCGCGCAATTCTCGTTATCGATATTAGTGATGGAATTATGGAATAAATAATCACAGCTCGAAAACTTTGATTTTGAAATAAAATCTCTCTAATAATAAATAATCTTGTGAATGTAAATATGTTTAAAATTATTTTCAAGATAAGATACTAAAAACATTGAGAGAAAGAAAGAATAGAGTATATATACAGTATTTTATATAGATAATTTCTCAAATCGATAGTATTTTTTATTTATTACATTTTATATGTTTAACAATTAATGTATTTATATATATATTTTTTTATTATATTACAGTTAAGTTATTTGTGATATTTATTAAAGTAAAAAGTCATAAAACTTAGATTTTACACGTAGCAATCCATATTTTTAATACAGCTAAAAAAAATTATTCTCTTATTAATACTAAAAACTTTATCTCCATATTTATCAAAATTTAAAATTTAAAATTAAATACAATGTAGATGCTATATAATTAGTATTCTCACCGCAAATTTATCACAAATAACAAAAGATTCTTATTTTATTGATATTAAATGCAATCTTATCTCAATACATATTTTAGCACATAAAGTGCTTATGACATTTAAACAAAGGTAAAAGGAGCCGACACTTTTTTTTTATATTTCCTTACACTCCTACACGATGAGATGACGTCGTCGGCATATCTCATTGTCAGTATCGCGGTATTTCCCTCTCTTTTCTCGCAACACCTGGCGAATGGGCCGACCACGTGGATGAATCGCCCACACGCGAGTGTCAGGTGTTGTTGCCTCGGTCAATTGTTCTCTTGGCCGCAGTA